GATATAAGTTTTAAAATAAATTATATAATGATAAAGTAATTTTTTATACAAAATATGAGTAAAAATTCAATATAATAGTAATACTGCAGCAATATTGACACGTGATATCACTAACCAATAGTAAAAAAACACATGGAAGATGAACTCAACATGTCAAGATGTAACTAACAATTCAATAAATTCTATATTTTAATTATGTTTGCAATACCAACAATGACAGAGATCACCATTATATTGAAATTTTCATAGATAATAATATCGTAGTCTCTTTATTTTCAATCAAAACAATCATTATTGTTTTTATAATTTTAAAAATATCATTGACATTTCACTTTAAATAATATTTTTATAATTTTTTTTATTTAAAATATTTTCTTTGTGTTTGCCCAAAAAAAAAAAAAAAATTTCAAAACCCAGGGGGCACGGGACCCCCTTACCCTCTTTACCTACGCCGTTGTGTATGATTTCATTTTTTCTTTGATTTTGTTGCAATAGGATGATCATAAAATATCTGATACCAGTGAAGCTTTTAATAGGCATCCTACCTAAGTTTTCACTCTTGGAGAAGTATTACCTGCTTGAGGTATAGGCTCTTTTGTAATTCTTCTTTCTTTTTATCACATTTTTGAATATAGAACTATCTATATAGAGTCGTGTTTGCTTTCAAGTGTATATCATATGATATAATTGCCTTTTGCTGTTCAAACAAAAGAAAATTGCCTTTCACACAAAAAAAGAAAGAGGAAAAGAAAATCATATGAGCACACTAGAAGCATGATAACATTGAATGTCTACTTTTGATAGTGTTTTTCATTAGTGAGCAACAGATCTGAAGTCTAGCTCTACTTTTAGATGTATCGAAACTCTTACTCTGTATATTTATTGATAAAAGCTTTAACTTCAGATACATTTGAGGGGCAAGATTTCTTTCACACTAGTGCAATGTTGATATCCTTTATTCTCTTAGGAAAATATTTGGAGGTAATGTCATGTCAGAGATAGAAACTAGCACTCAACTAATATAGATGAATGACATTTTGAACATGGTTCCAGAGGCAAAGGTTCCTGTTGATGGTATTGTTATTAATGGTCAGAGTCATGTGAATGAGGGTATGATCACAGGAGAAGCAAAGCCAATAGCTAAGAGACCTAGTGACGCGGTTCAGATGGTTTATTTTCTCTTAGTAGTAAAATTGATACTTTTGACATTTTTAAAATGTTTAATTTAATGGCAAAATATATATTTTTTGATAACATCATGAACAGGTTATTTGTGGCACACCCATGGATGAATGTAATCCACTGTACGGCACCATTCATATGCCTTTTTTTATTCCGAATATACAAATTTGACAAAAGGATTCAATTTTGTGTTTGTTTTTTTAAATGGCATTTGAAGAGTCTCTTTAAATAATTTAATGCAATGATGAAATTTAAACAGAAGAACCAAAAAAATGAAGGCAACACTCTGAAATCACCCTTCTTTTTCCTTTTTGTTGGTGACAATATGCAGATTCAGTACTGCCCAGAAATTAGACAAACTTGGAAAGTTGACCCTAAGGTGTTGCATAATATCATATTCTGCTTGCCTTTTTTTTTTTTCTTATAATTTTTTTATGTATTTTATTTTTGCAATTGGAACAGTTTAAAATCATATTGTTGTTTCAAAGTCCAAAATCTGGCAAGGGAACATTGAAATTGATGTTTATTTTCTAATTCGAGTGTTTATTTTCGGACCATATTTAATATTGTAATCTACAAACTACAGTTATCCAAGATTCGATGAATAGTAACATCTTTATAGATGTAACAACCACTCTGTCCTAATTGTAAAAGTTTTTCTTTTTGATTTTTGGTGTTGTGGGATTTCATTTTTCCTTTGTTTAACAGTCTGTTTTTAGTTCTAAATGCAAATTAACTTTTTTCCTTTGTTGACATCCTATTTCTTTTTCCTATTCTACATTGATTCTAGAACTTTTTTTTTTTTTTTTTGTTCGGCTAAAAAACTTTATTGATGAAAAAAATAATATACATGCAAAAATACATCAACAAAGCAGGGAAGTGCACTGAGCATCAAAGCAAACCTCAACAATCCTAACTAGGTTAGCACCGCAAAGGAAATATAATCATATGTTAGCACTTGACTCAAGATTGGTGAGAAACCAATCAAAAGAACCAACAGGAGAAAGAGAAAAAAGCAGAACAAACCAAACTGCATCATTGCAACAGTGCAAGTGGAACAAATGGAACAAAACATCAGTAGCACCAAAACACCAAAACTATGATAATGAAGACAAATTTTAACCAATCAGTGGTGCTCTCCAAGATGCCAAAAGTACTTAAGAGTCATGAGGCCCCAAAAGATAGGAAAGAGAATCTTCTCCAAAAAGCTTTTATTGGCAACAAGTTAAACAGACCATTTATAAGCTCCAAAATCAAAATTATCTTCATTGTCTAGGCATGCACTTTTGGCTTGCTTGTTATCCCCCTAGACCAGTCTTGCTCTATCTCTCACCAAGCTTGTTGTTCCATAATAAATAGGCTCTTCACAAGCCAATATTCTCAGTCTACCTTTATTTCTCTACAATGTTCTGTCAAACACTTTGCTACCCTCTGGATTCCTAACAAGTACCAACATACTCCCACTGCCTAGGATCAGCAGCAAGCCATCCAGAGAACAAATCTCTCATATGAAGAAAACTCAGCCAATTTTACAAAACTAACAGATGAATAACACTACTTCCTTAGATTACCCAAAAACAGTAGACTAAGCACCTTCTCACCAGGGCATCACAACAACTACAGAACAACAATACAACTGCAGCAACAAACAAAATACAGCAGCAGGCAGAACAAAAACTTCCCTAAGACACACCAAACTACACACAATAGCAAGCAGCAAAATAGTCAAAAGCCACAAAACAGTATCTATACAACAGTAGGCCACCATACAGCAGCAGATCAAACTCCCTTGTGTCACACCTTTTCGAATATCTCTCCAACCAAACTAACAACAATCAAAATAGCCACCACACCAATAGTAGTCTAGGGATCCTGCAAGCACCTCCACTCTACCACCTTTAAACTCAAGTGGACCCAATACACCTCTTAATTTGCTTAAAATTAAAAACAACATCATGAACAGAGAATGATGCACCACTGAAATGAGCTCTCATCCAGATTGCCACTCTCAAGGGCTGTACTAAATTGAAAACACAGTCATTCTTATAGGTCCACACAGACTACATTATAGCTGATGGTAAAACCCTCCAAATCTGGTTTACTTTCTTCTTAAACTTCCAACCCAACCACCATAGTAGCAAGTCTTCAATAGAACTCGGAATAGCCCACTGAAAACCCCAACAAAAAACAATAGCAGACCAGGTTCTCCAGACAAAAGGGCAATGAAGCATAATATGTTCAGTTGATTCTCCTGTCTCATGACAAAAAATGCACCTCAGAGCGTCATCACTTACCAGAATTCCTAACCTGTGAAGCAGCTCTTTTGTTTTCAATCTACCTCTCCAAGCTAACCAAGAAAAGAATTTAGCTTTTGGTGAGGAGAAATTATTCCATAACAGATCAACTGACCTCTGAATGGGGCCCTCATTAACTAAACCCCAGGCATAAACATGATTAACCTTGAACACACTTGACTGCCTATGCTTCCAACACAAACAATCAATAGCATCACTTCTTAAAACATGGCCAGCCCTCAAAAAATTCAAAAATCTAACCAACTCAACATCTTCCCAAGCCCGAAGTGTTCATCTGAAATTAAAAACCCACCCAGATTAATGAGATCTTCTAGCTAATTGCACACTTAAGGAAGACTCTTTATCTTCAACCAACTGAAACAATCTAGGGAATTGGCTTAATAGGTTTGTTGATCCCATCCAAGGATCCCTCTAGAAACTAATTCTTACTTCATTCCCAACTACAATCTGGGCATTATCCTTATAGAATTGAAAAAGCCAGCCATTCCTTTGAACAACTAGTAATATATCTTTCCATATGTTAGATGTAGAACCAAATTCAGCCAGAAAAGGGTACCACCTGCCCCCTATAGAGCCATACTTCTCACAAATTACCAACTTTCACAAAGTATCACCCTCTTGGCCATATCTCCACCACCACTTTACTAGTAAACTGTCATTGGCTAACCTAATATTTTTGATCCCTAGACCACCTTGCTTCACACTCCTAGATACCTCTTTCCAACTAACAAGATGGATCTTCCTATGATATTCTGAATCGCCCCATAAAAATGATGCTTGAATTCTATCAATCTCTTTTGCTACACATTCCGGCATTTTAAAAATGGACATGTAATACACAAGTAACGAACACAACATAGATTTTATGAGTGTAACCGTCCCAGCAAAGGACAAAACCCTTCTCTTCCACCCAGATAACTTCTTCTTGAATTTCTCCACAACAAGTTTCCAAGTCGACCTCCTACTAGGGTTGGCCCCCAATGGTAAACCTAAATATTTCAAAGGTAGCTTCTGACTTAGACAATTCAACTTATCAGTAAACTCATCAACCACCACATCAGCCACCCTTACTCCACACATAACACTTTTAGAAAAATTAATCCTTAAACCTGAGATTACCTCAAAACACCTAAGGATTCTTTTAATAGCCACAATTTCAGACCATTTAGCCTCACAAAAAATCACTGTATCATCAGCAAATTGCAAATGGGAAACATTCAAACCATTCGCACCTACTGATACACCTTTAAAAAGACCCAATTCCTTAGCTCTTGATATGAGTATGTTCAGACCCTCAGCTACAACATTAAACAAAAATGGTGATAACGGATCACCATGCCTTAAACCTTTTTGGGGACAGAACTCAGGTGATGGTGAGCCGTTAACCAGAACTGAGATTCTAGCAGAAGAAATGCAACCCTTCAACCACTTAATCTAAACAGCTCCGAAACCAAAACTCTCCAACATTTGATTGAGGTAATTCCAGTTTACCGTGTCATATGCTTTTTCAAAATCCAGCTTAAGAATTAGTCCCTTTCTGTTTGATTTCTTCCACCAATCCACAACCTCATTTGCTATAAGAACTCCATCCATAATGTTCCTCCCACCTAGGAAAGCTGATTGGACTCTGTCAATAACTTTTGGCCAAACTAATCTAAGCCTGTTAGCAAGCACTTTAGACAACACTTTATAAATGGAACTAATGAGATTGATAGGTCTAAAGTCTTTGATTGATTCAGGACAATTAGATTTAGGAACAAGAGTCACAAAAGAACAATTAATGCCATTTCCCAACACCCCATTAGCATGAAACTCCTTCATAAAATCCATGATATCACCCTTCATGATCTTCCAACCCTTTTGAATGCAAAACAAGTTAAATCCATCTGGACCTGGAGCTTTGTTTCCATCACATTCCTTAACTGCTGCCCAAACCTCTGCTTCTGAGAAATCTAACTCCAAAAGCTGAAGTTAGCCTTGATCAATGCAACTAAAATCACCCCCTAGTCTTGGCCTCACTTTCCAACCTTCAGTGAACAAATCTTTAAAATAAACCCATACAGCTTGTTTTACCTCTAAGGGCTCCTCATATAAAATATCATTAATCTTCATTGAATTAATGAGGTTCCTACTTTGTCTTCTGGAGGCCTTGATGTGAAAGTATCTGGTGTTTTTTTCCCCTTTTAATGCCCAATTTAATCTAGATTTTTGCAACCAGATCCACTCCAATTTTTTCCTACTCTGCCAAACTTCATCTTTGACTTCAATTCTCTTTCTAGCTTTAGATTCTGTAAGATCTCTCTCTTTAGCAACTAAATCCCAGGAGTGTAACTCAGCTTCAGCTACTTTAAGTTTAGATACCACATGGCCAAAGACCTCCACATTCCAAATCTTCAATGCCTGCTTGAGTAACCTCAGTTTGGCCATAATTCTGAAGCTAGCCCAACCCTCTACTGGTGCACTAACCAAAATGTGACGGCCTCAAACCCGCCCCTAAAGGTTTGGGCATGACCCGTTCGAAAACGAACATTTAACCCGATGTACATAACATACGGGGCCTTATCGGAAGCACGTAATGTGAAAATAATGATACATATAAACTCCATTGAGCTACTTCTACATGCCAGGATCTCATTCATCGCATGCACCATAGTAGATAGATAAAGTCCCAAACTATATCACGGAGCATCGGTTATATACAACACATATACAGTCCCAGCCCTATGATTGGGCATATATAACAACTATTGAAGTTAT